AACCCTCTCACAAGATCGTCCAGTTAACAGGGAAAAAAGAAAACGTTTCACTCTAAGACACAGGCGGATCTGGGGAAGGAGGAAGGTTTTCGGGCTGAAGCCCCCCCTTTCCACCAAAAATGGTAAAATATTGTGTCTTCAAAAATATATATATATATATATATATATATTTAAAAATTATCTCTAAAAGTATTATTCTACGTGAAATTGTATTTAATAGTACTTAAAGAATCACTAAAAACACAATTTCATATAGGTAGTTAGCAGTGCCAACGTTAAACATTTGGAACCCACGGGCAATGACATCACCTCTCTCCCCCCTAAAAAATTTAATTTATTTCTTAAGCTGTTTTATATTATGTAATATTTGAATTTAATTTCATTAAACATTTCTCTAATAAAGTTGTTTTATTGATAGGCTGAAGTTAATTATTTTAATACGATTTTTAACCTTTTTTTTACTTCTTACATGTGATGAGCGCCCTTGAAGATCGGCTGGCGCCCCCCCCGCCAATCCAGGTCGGCGCCCCGGGGAAATTGCTTCGGTTGTCACACCCTAAGGCCGGCACTGGTAGTTAGGTTATTTATTTTTCTTCCAAAGTAATTACCGTTTTATACTTAAAAAAAAAATATCTTTTAGGCTGAAGCCCTCCTAAAACTAAATCTTGGATGTGAAATGTTAATTATGCCCTTAACTTGAAGAAGTTATAGCAATTCTAAAATGTAACTGAAATCTTCTTGATATCATGGTCAGATAACTAACAAGGATCTGTTCAGGTATATAAAATGAAGTAGAGTTGACAAAGTGCGTTGAGGCGTTATACACCATAATATTCTCGGCCCAACTCAAACCTTGGACTTTGAGCTCAGGAAGGCACTACGTACCCACTGAGCTACCTCACTTCTACTTTCTGTATGTAAAATAAAATATCGATCACTAAAAACTTTTTTATATAATAGAGAGATATGAATATATAATACAAATGGATGATAGTAGAACAAATTATTGTAAACAATTTATAAACAAAACCAAAATCAGTTTATAATAAAATAATGTAAAATGTAATTAATAATGAGTATTATAAATATTTTAAGGATAAGTTGTTTAGGGAAGAAGACTGATGCGGTCAACAAAGCCAAAATACTCTAATATATGGAATTTATTTTATTATGGCGCCTTCTCGTGAGAAAATCTCCTGATGAAGGCCTGAACCTAGAGTCAAAATGTCATCAAAAATAAAAATAAATATAATGGATATATTTTTACTTTGTTACTTTTAACCGAATAGCCCAAACAACTTCTTTTCAATTATTTTATAAATATTTGATTGATGGCAGAATCACAATCCACTTTACAGGTCTTAATTAGATGTTAATGGATGATAGACTAGTCATCGACTCGATTTTTGATGCCATAGCACAGCGCTGATAATACACTGCAAAATGGGTGGAAACTTTGGCACACAAAAAATAAAATAGGTTTGATTTATTAGTTTATTAGCATGTTCCGGCATAATTTTCCACAACTCCCACTTCCCCGACCAACTTTTCCTTACCTTATATCTACAGTCAACAACCTCCACATTATTAATGTGTAAAAATATTGATTTACAAAAATATTAGCAAATTTCAAAGTATTGGATTGTAAACAGTAACATACAGAGATAACTTGGGTTAAATTAAAAGGTTCAATATTAATATTAAATTATAAATTAAATTAAATAATAAATTATATTATTTAAATAATTAAATTTCATGACGCAACAACTGGAATTCATTTTATTAAATAATCTGTTGAACATAGAATACTTATCTATGAGAAAAAAAATATAGTTTTTTACCAAATTATAAGCCTTAGGGAGGTACTTTGAAATCAACATTTGGAAATAAACATCAGAAAATATAAGTATTATAAATAACAAAGAGTTTAATAAAAAAATGACAGTACACTCATCGCACAAATCTCAGGTATGTATTCGATAGCGTCCATTGAGCCCCATGAGAAAAACATAAAAGTCAATGCCACTTTAACAAAGTACCAATCATTTATATACCAAGTAGAGTTTACTGAACAAATATTGTTTTAGAGTTTATCAACTAATAATACTTATTTAAGCTTGGTGAATAACCAATACTACTGTTTATAAACCAAGTTCAAAATATATTATGAGTTTAGTGCTAAAAATAATCTGAGGGTCATGGATTAAACCTATCTCCATTGATGTGACTTTGACCCGCCATAAATCAACGAGCAAGTCAAACTAAACCAACAATAAGTTTTAATTGAAATTTACAACACAATTTAACATAAATCAATAATTTAAGTTCTTAAAAGATTATTGAAAGTTTTTAAAAAAATAGGTTTCAATATTTCAAATTCATTGTATTTTCAATAAATAGTTCTGTTTGTTAGGAAGGAAAATAGTTATTTCTAGAATGGACAATAAATTAAATAGAAATAAAAAAAAAAAAATACTAAAACAAAGAATTTTAATAAAATATCAAGAAAATTTGTACTTCAAAATATTGAAGTTTAAGGATCTTTTGAACTTAAAACAAAATTTGAACTAAATATTCTTAATGCGAAACCAGGGCCCCACTTCTCCAGAGAGCGCCACCTAACGTGTGATATAAATATGTTCACAATTTTATGAAGAAAAACCTAATGTCACTTTATATTTAAATTTTTAAAAATCTTTTAAACTTCAATAATGAAATCATATTATTTCCATTGAGCAGACCCGATGAAAAGGGGGACAGCTGGAGTTACAACCCCAGACTCCGAAGTGGGCCCGGCCCGGCATGGCCTTTTAAGTCTTTTTTTTTACTTTTAAATTTACATTATAATAAGGTATATATAACATTTAATATATTATACAACAGTAAAGTGATATACTTTTGCATAAATACTTTATAAAAGGCTTTGATAGGTATTTAGTGTTAAATTTAATACTTGGTTTCTCTCCATAGCTCTGCCATTGGACCACTTGAATTCCCTGGACCATGGTGTCATGGGAACAGAAATCGTCCTTCCAAGCCATGAGTAAAACATTCCAAATTATCTTTTGCAATATTTTAAAATAGACCAACAAAAGTATTAAATAAGTATTTTAAATGTACTAAGTTGATCACAAAGCAAAATAAAAACATCAATATAAGAAATTTGAATAAAATACCGATGATTGACATACTTATAAACAACATTAAGGACTCTAAAGAAACTAATACAAAAATATAGTATAAACAAAAAACTATTGCCAAATTCTATTAATATAATCTTTGAAACTAAATTTATTTATATGAGTTTAATTAATTTTTAATTGGTTTAAGGAAAATCAGCTTATATAAATATAAACAGTTATATTTTCATCTAATGATCAAGGTTTTATTTACTTACTAAATTAACATGGGATTTGAATATACTTGAATTTTTGAATACATGAACTACCAACATTCATTAAAAACTTTAAAATAATAGTGACATTTATAATTGCAATATATATATATAGATATCAAATCTTGATAACTAACAAACCTTGTAGGAGATCAAAACAATACTTTAATTCACAATTAAACAAGTTGTAAGGAACTAAAAAATATATAGTAATGTAACCAACTCATCTCTAAGAATCAGATAAAGGACTAATATTGAATTATAGTCAAGAATGAATGAATCCAAAGAACACAGAACTAGTATAGAACATCTGTAAGGGAAGAAAAAAGTTAATATTTGTTTTTATAAACAGAATGATACCGATGTATCGTCTTTTATGTCTAAAAAGTTCACTTAATAAAACACAATAAGTTTAAATTTTAATCAAAACAAAAAAGGCAGAGAAGATGAAGAGATCTGGGGAATGCCAACAAATAACCTACTGTAACCTCCCTGGTATCATATGAGAAGGGACAAAAAAATATAGTAAACAATTAAAACTGTTTTATGTATACTTCAAACCAAAATAAAAAAATAAAAAACCTATTTATTTATTTATTTTATATTATTAACAATTACAGAACTCTAAAATTTTACATGGTAAAGATAATGTTACCTTTGATAACCAATATTTAGTTTAGTGATAAGATGGTGTGGAATAACGTTCAGATTAGGTATTAATAAAAATATTCCCTAGAAAAAAAATTTCATTAGAAATGAATTATTTAAGTTACATTAAACTAATAAACTAATATACTTTAATATTAAAATATATGTTATACTTCATTCAATATAGATTAAATGTAAATAAAAACCAATAATAGATTATACCTAAAACAAGGATTAAATTACATTGAAATGCTTATTTTTAATAACATTTCTTGAACCTATACATAATCTAAAACAAAAGGTTACTGGTGAGAACAATAAATATAACATTGAAAAATCTAAGTGTTTTTCACGTTAATACTACCCACCTTCGATTTTTTTCTTCTATAGATTTTGGTCATACAAATGTTTGCAAAAAAATTTAAAAGCAAATTCAAACTTACATTTTTATTAATGAATTAAATCATATCAAATAAATTATTCAGGCAGAACTACAGGACATTTCAAAATATTAGGCACATCATTTGTGTTATTCGTGCAAAGTCGAAGTTAAAAACTCTTTTTAAAAACTAATGAAAATGAGAAAACAGTAACGTACCATCGATAACTCCCAATTAAACATGTCATTATTTTCAGTATGTTTGAGAATTGAAGTTTAAGCGAATGTTGACTTGATCTCTTGTGTTAGAACAATATGTCAGAAACTGGATTTTCGTGTATAATTAAAAAATAGCAGCTTTTTAATTATTCAAACTGTTGATCCAAAGAGGTAATCATATATTCATACAATGTGAGTATAATAAATTATTATTTTGATATACATATATTTATAATTTTATTATATTTACGTCATTAAAATACATTAATATATTTAAAAATTTCTTTAATGATTAACTTAATTTTGAGTAATATTTGTAATAACTAAGATAATGATTTATACTAAGTTTTTAAAGAGGAACTCGGTCGAAGTAGGAAGGTTATGGAGCTATTCTTACTTAGTTTCAAGATTTGGGGTTGAGTGTATTTGATTATCTATTCGTGACATATTCTTCCATTACTGTATGGCTGACAAATCTAGTGTTTCTTCTTTTCAGTTATAGTATTTTACTATTAAATTATTTCCAGAATCCTTTCAGTGGTAGTCATCAATTTCTTTAAAGTTCCAGGTATTTTAAATAACGATGCCCGTATCAACAAATTTACCTTTGAAAGAAAACTCTCTTTTCAAAAGAGCCATGAAGTGTTACGAGAATAAACAGTATAAAAACGGTATAAAGTTCATCAATCAGATTTTGGTAAATCCAAAATACGCTGAACATGGGGAGACGTTGGCGGTTAAAGGGCTTTTATTGTATTGCTTAGGTAAAAGAGACGATGCATATGATTACGTTAAAAAAGGATTAAAAATGGAATTGAAATCATATTTGTGCTGGCATACTTATGGTATATTGCACAGGTCTGATAAGAATTACGAAGAAGCAATTAAATGTTTTCGGAATGCACTCAGATGGGAAAGCGGTAATGCCCAAATTCTCCAAGATCTTTCAGTCCTGCAGGTACAAATTAGAGATTTGGAAGGATACTTGGATACTCGAGCTAAACTTTTCCAGGTAGCTCCGACCCAGCGTGCGGCTTGGGCTGGTTATGCTGTCGCGCACCACTTAAATAGAGACTTTGAGACCTGCCTCAAAATTTTGCTCACTTTAAGAAAAAATCTTAACTCATGTTATTCGAGTTATTCCTCAAACGAATATAGTGAGCTATTACTTTATGAAAACTTAGTTATAGAAGAATCTGGTGATCTTACGGGAGCATTGAAACATCTATCTGAACATCAGGACTATATACGCGATAGAGTCGCCGTTTTTGAAAATTTTTCGCGACTTCATCTCGAGCTTAAGAATTATAAAGATGCTGAAACCTATATTAACCAACTGTTGGCAAGAAATCCAGAAAGAATTACGTATTATTTCTGGTTGTTTGAAGCTCTGGAACTTGAAACAGATGAAGGCAAGTTTGAAACTCTCAATAATTTGTTAAAGACACTACCTAGAGCTAGATTGCCCAGAAGAATGATTCTTGATTATATCCATGGTGATCAATTTTCTGTGGAGGTAGGTATTTATTTACAAAGAGAATTTAGAAGAGGTGTACCACCTTTATTCGTTGACATTAGACCATTATATAAGGATAATAAAAAAGCAAAAATAATAGAAACTCTTGTTATTGATTATAAGCAATGTTTGATTGATAATGGATGTCTTGTGAAAGAAATTCAACAACTCGAATCTCCCACAACTTTATTATGGATCTATTACTTTCTAGCACAACATTATTGTTATTTTAAAAATTATGATGAAGCTTTGTCCTATATTGACCTTGCTATTTGCCATACCCCTACACTTCCAGATTTATACATGACTAAAGGCAAAATTTATAAGAAAGCTGGTAACCATGAATTAGCATCTGATTGGTTGATGGAGGCCCGGGAATTAGACTCATCAGATAGATTTATTAATTCTAAATGCGCATATTATCATTTCAAAGCTAATAGGATAAAAATTGCTGAAGAAGTGACTTCTTTCTTCACAGTTGATTGTGTCAATGTAACGGAAAGTCTCTCTGAGATGCAGTGCATTTGGTATTTATTAGAATTTGCATTAGCATACGAAAGACTTGGAATGTATGGCGATGCTTTAAAAAAGTGCCATGAAATTGACAGGCATTTTGTTCAGTTTTATCAAGATCAGTTTGATTTCCATTCCTACTGTCTGCGAGGAATGACATTAAGACCCTACATATATCTTTTGAGGTTTGAAGAAGATGTCAAAGATCATGAATTCTATAAAAAAACAGCACAGTGTGCTATCAGAATATATCTAAGGCTGCATGATGCTCCAAAAAAAATAGATACATCGGAATCTACAAACGAAACCAATTCTTTAACATCCAGTGAGCTCAGAAAATTAAAGAATAAAGAGAGAAAAGCTAAGAAGAGAGCTGAGCTGGCGAAAATATGTGATGAAAAATATGAAACGAAATCTAAGTCAAAGGTAGAAGATATTTGTGATGCTTACAATGAATATTTTAATGCTGACTTCTTTCAGAACACTCCTACACCTTTGGAAGAGGCATTGAGATTTCTTCTTCCCTTAAAGGCTTTTTCACCACATGACATCACTACTCATCTTGCAGCTTTTGAAATATATTACAGAAAGGGGAAGTCACTTTTGATGTTGCAAGCCATCAAACGAGGATATTCTATTGATCCAGATCATCCTCTATTTCATGAAATGATTGTAAGATTCACATTATTGGTTCATAAAGCTAAATCTGAGGGAATCCTAAAGTTTCCATTGAGTGAAGTTGTTGATAGGCAGATGGAACCTATTTGGAAGGGAAGAACACCCAAAGAAATAAATGATGATTTTCTTAAACGCCATCAATTTAGTTTACCAGGATTGGTGCAAGCTGCTAGATGTTTATATCTTATTGATAATTCTAAACAATCTGAAGCATATGAGTTATGCACAAGTCTTGATGATTCTATTCAGGATGTAAATGTTGAAGAATGCTCTCGAGTTGCAAATTATATGAAATACGGGCTTCTTGGACATATTAAAAAAGAGGAAATTGATAGTTATTTGAAAAAATGCCATGAAAAGTTTCCATTGGCTAGTGTATTTATGCCTCCTGAAGAATCTCAAACAAATATTTTTAATTAAGAATATTTTAAATTAATTGAATGCAATTGTGACTTGATTATTTCTCTTAATCAATTTTTAATCCATTAATAATGATTTAAAGCCTCATTTCATAATCATTTTTAACTGATTTAAGTAACTTTGTGACTTGAATTGATGTAAATTTGTTAGATATTGTTGAGTTCAAGTGTAAAATCTACTGACAGAAATTAAACTATTGTTGTATTATTTGTAATTTTGATTAATAACATATATTAGAATGGATTATGTGTTGTTATGTAAGCTCTGTTATTATGTTAATGACATTTTTCTACCTTTTGAATGATTTATTAAAAATGATATATTTATCTACTTTCTACTATTTTATTTTTTAAAATACAATGTTTGTTATTACAATATTTTTGTCTATTAATTTTCCATAAATATTTTTTTAATTACCTATTAACATTGGTGATAAGGGAAATATACATGTTTGGTGGTGTTCATAAATGAAATATCAGATTTTTTCTCCACTGGTCATAAAATAGCCTTATGAAAATAATATTTATGTCACCTTGTAAAATTTTATTTATTTATTCAATAAAAAATTAGAGTGTAAAGAATATTATGAGACTGTTCTGAAATTACTTTGTGATCAGTTAGTGATGATTGATTAGAAATGTTAATTGATTTATCAAGGTTCTTTTTTCATTAGCCTTCTAAAAAAATATTACATTAATTAGATATATATTAGTTAGTTAAATGTTGTGGAATTTTAATAAAAAGGTTTGTAAAGTAGTTAAAAATAAAAACTAGTGTAAAATTGAAATAACGTGATTACACAATTTTGATTAAGTGGGATAATCTTTACAGTAGAGGTATAAGGAGTGGAGGTATAATATCCATTGAAATTATTTGATTTGATGAAAAATTTGAACATCAAAAAGTTTTCAGGTTTGAAAACAGCAATGTCAGAACTTTTTACGTAATTTATTTTATTACACTTATACAATTTAGAATTATGTTTTCCTGAAATAAAACATAAATATACTTCGGCCATAAATTAAAGGCCATATCCCTTCTTCCATTCTATTCATATATCATCCTTAGCTCCACCATAAATAACTTTTCAATTATTTCATACGGTTTGTAATCAATAATTATCATATCATTGAAATTACTCTACAACAACAAACAATTTAAGGTGTTATAAGTTTTTTTAAACCAAAACCAACAAAGTTTTCCTGTACGATCAAAATATATTCAAACACGATTGAGTTGTGGGGATTCCAAAAGAGATTATTTCAAATATGAAAATTTTTCTGAAAAAAAAAACAACCAAAGTATGCATATTTCAGGTGATTGTTTTTTTTTTTATTCAGTTAATAACATCAAGATTTTAAACTGCATCGAAAATGGATTTGAAGGATATTTTCTAGCTTGTTGAAACACCAAATTAAAAATAAATAAATTGGGCCAGATTTATAAGTTTCTGGCCAGGAAGAAATTATGGTAGATAATTAACTTTTTTTTCATAATCTAACATTTTTGTTTTATAACCTGTTCTTACAAGTATTTTACAACTTAATATTATTTTGTTTTATAATCTGTTCTTACAAGTATTTTACAACTTAATATTAAATTTAACATTAATATCAAACAAATATGTGAAAAAGAAACAATGAAATCATATGTTTGGTGATTTTCAAGATTTATTTTTTTTTTTATTTTTATAAATACCGTAATTATATTTTAGGTTATCTAAAAATCTTCAGATCAACCAAAAGATCTTGGCCTACATCTACGATTTTTGAAAGAAAAAACATAAGCAGTGCCAGCCTTCATTGCCCCCGGGCAACGACGTCATCTCCCCCCTTAAAAAATCAAATTTATTTCTTAAGCTGTTTTATATTATGTAATATTTGAATTTTATTTCATATGACATTTACCTAATACAGTTATTTTATTGATAACCTAAAATTAATTTTTTTAATATGTTTTGTATTTTTTTTTTAATTTCTAACATGTGGCGAGCGCCTCCCCCCAAACGAGCGAGGCGGGTTCCGGTTGCTCTACCTAAAGCCGGCACTGAACTAAGAATAAGCTAGCTAATAGCCTTAATTTGGACAATGATGGAGTAATACGAACCACAGGCGGATCTACGGGGGAGGGGCGGGGAGATGGAGCTTTCGGGCTGAAGTCTCCATCCCCCTTCCCTCAAAATGGCAAATATAACCTTGTCTTATTAAAAAAAATTAATCTAAAAGTATTATGTACAGGAGAGACTGGGTGTTGATCAGGGCTACCGAAGCGTGAGAGCTCTACGACAGTCGCTGAGAGAGAATTCCTTTGAAGAATGGGCCGGTTGCAGGTGGCAAGGCGTTGAAGTTAGGCATTTCAAAGATACTCCGAAAGCTAATAAATATATATGCCAGAAGCAAGTACTGTCGGGCTCAGAATGGCCCAACGCCTTGAAACTTAACATCAACTATGCACCGTTGCGTGGAGTCCCAGGAGCCAGTGGACAGTCGAAGGAAGTTGGGTCTCTCTGTCGCAAATGTGGTAGAGAGTCTGAAACACCAGCCCATATGCTGGGAAAATGCTCCAACAACTCCCTCCTTATAACACGCCGGCACCATAGAGTAAAATTCGAATTGATGAGGCGCCTTAGGGAAAGGGAATTCGTATGATTCAACGAGGTCTATTGTATTGATACCGATGGCTCAACAAGATACGCGGACATAGTTGCATTTTCCAGGACCGGAAAGGCGGCACTGGTCTTGGATCCAACTGTTCGCTATGAGAGCAACGACCTCGAACAAGCCGACGAAGTAGAAAGATAAAAGAAGAAAATCTACTAGAAATTCATCCCTTTCCTAAAAGAGAAATTCCGCGAGACCTTCGGAGAGAGAGAGTTCACAGTGAGAGGCCTCTGGTTTGGGTCTCGCGGAATGATTCCTAAAAGAACAGGGAGCTTCATCGAGGAACTTGGTGTTGATGTCGGGGAGCTTCCAGTGTTGGCCGAGGGTATTATTCTGGACTCCCTTGGGATCATACATCATCACATATATGGTCGTTATGAGATGATTATCATTATTTATTTATTTATTGAATTTTAATATTGTTTAAGTGATCATATCTTTTTGTCTGTGTTGTGTGCGTTCTAATTTTCTGCTGTTAAAACTGGCATTCAAATACTATATATTTGTATTTTTTTTTTTTTAGCACTATAAATTTTGGAAATTACCTTGTATAGGTTTCACCGAAATATGTATGTATAATATATTGTATGATTGTAGTTGTATGTATTATTATATTGTACTGTTTATATTGTTGAAAAAAAATTGATGAGTATGCTGTGTGTCAAGCAACCCTATGTAATAGGGCAGCACTGCTTTCAATAAAGTATTTCTCTCTCGTGTAATTGCATTTAATAAGATTACGAGAATCACTTAAACACCATTTCATAAAGGTAAGTTAGTTTCTTTTTATTTTTTCCGAAGTAATTATCGTTATGTATATAGAAAAAAAAAGGTTTCGGGCTGAAGTACCCCATAATTATATCCTGGATCTGCTGATGAAACGAACAACATCTGAATAGATTTAATACTAGGGTGCTCAGATGGGGATGGTACGTCGCAAGATGCGCCATTAAAATTTTAGAGAGGGGTCATTCTGAAGGGATCATAAATGTTTGGATTAAATCGCCATTTTGTGGTGTTTCAATCTGAAGGAACTTTAAAACCAGTAAACAAGGAAGAAAATGTGGAACATACCACCAGTAGTGGATCCAGGATTTAATTTTGGGGGAGGCTTCAGTCCCAATGTTTTTTTAAAATATATTACAAGCCCTATTAAATGTAATTAGAAGAATAATAACATTTTTAGAGATAATTTTGTAATATTTTAAGAAGACATGGTTATATTTTACCACTTTTGGGTAGGAGGTGCTTCAGCCCGAAAGCTCACTCCCATAGATCCGTATGTGCAGACCACAGCAAGAGTAATAGTTCATGAACCAAATATTTTTGTAGTCCTGTTTTCTCTTGTATTGAAGTAAAGTTTCTTAGAATGTCATCTACCTTGAAAGGGATGGGCACCCTCAACAATTTTGGATGTCAGCACAGACATTAACTGACAACATTTAATATTGTTAATTGTTGCATTTTTACGTAGTGCTTGCACATTCCCATTTGGAATTCAATGCAATACTATGAACATGAAATGAGGATTGAATTCATTATTTTTTGTGGAGTTAATAAAACATGTACCACCTTAAAGAGGGCGCTAAATATTGTGGAAAATATTAAAAAATATAATAATTTAGGGGAGCCCATCTCACCAAGATCGATAACACACGAACCTCATCCCCTCTCCCAACAGATTTTATTGCTAAAAAACATCATTTTATCAATTTGTAAATTTATAAAAAAAAAAAAATAGTTTGAGAATTAGATTAATTATTAAGTAACTATTATTGTTAGGTCAATTCTATTCCTAAAGGTACTAATATAATATTAATGTACAAACATATTTTAACATTTTTTATTTTTCAATACCGAGTCGGTACGGACTGTAATCGATAAATTGTAACAGTAACGGTTCTGTTACTAGAGCAGTTGTAACCATGGCAGAGAAATGGTCGTCGAATGTAATTGTTATTATTTTTTTTTTCTAATTCTTATTAAGTTAATTGGTATTGGTATAAGTTAATTTATTTCTCACATGACAATTAATTTTATGTCCAATATTTTATGACCGTTTTGAGAAATATATATGCCTTTTAACATTCCACGTTAATTGGTGTAAATAAAAACTCCATTCCTATGTAATTTTCTATAATAGAAGCTCATATAATGACAATCGGCTCCATAATTTTCGTTGATTAAAGTTGAGTGCATTAAATAATTAAGCACATAGGCAATTAATTCAAGTATCCAAGTGCGGACTGATTTGCATGATTAGTGCATACTTATGAATTAGCAGCCATAATGAACTTAATTGACTAAGTCCAACAACGCCTCTGTGATTAGAGTTTGTCCACTACAAGTTAATGCATCCTGGGCTCTTTGTTGCTATTGCTCAACTCTATCGTACAGTGTTATTAAGATTAATTATCTTCCACCGTGTCAATTAAACGTGTATAATGCAATGACAAAACTAGTTGTAGTAGCCTAGACACTAAGCAGGGTTAAAAAAAAAATTATTGAAATATTTGAGAGAAAAATCCATCGCACGATAACCGGAGCGATAAGAGTACTTAAAAATGGAGAATAAAGACCTATTAACAATACAGAAACCGGTTAATCAATATATCATGGTATGAAGGCACGGAGGTTAAGATGGGTGGGGCATATAACTCGGAGCAATCCATCTGGAAGTCTTTGCATAACTATGAATGTCTCAATAGAATGCAAAA